CTGAGCCCCGCCGGCAGGTCCGACGCCGGCTGGGCGGCACGGGCAGCCACAAAGCTGCACCGGGCGACGTCTCCTCCTCCTCCTCCTCCTCCTCCTCCTCCTCTTCCTCCTCCTCCTCCTCCTCCTCCTCCTCCTCCTCCTCCTCCTCCTCCTCCTCCTCCCCCAAGGGGTAACTGTGTGCCACCGCGCCTGGCCAGGGCGCGCTCTGGCCAGGGCGATAGAAACCAAAAGAGCGCGCCTCTCGGGCGCCGAGGCCAGGAAGGCCTGCGCGCAACTCCGCGGCCCGGGATTCGGTTACAATGGGAGTACATGCCAAGAAACACCCTGTTTGGTTCCAGGGTGCCCTGGGCTTCTCAGGTTTCGAGGGCTTTGCTGTGGAAAGCCTGGCATTCCCACGCCGAAAGTCCATGGGCGTCCTGGGGTCTCAGGGTTGGGTTTCTTGTGGAAGCTTTCTTGTGGTCGGGCCCCCACTGTACTCGAAAAAGTGACCCTTCGCCGGAGTGCCCATCGGTGCGCGCCCACTGTGGCCCCCCGATCGCCGAGTGCGGTGCGATAGCAGCGTCTTGCGCGCTCGTGTTTGGTCCCCTCAGCGGCCTCCCAAAAAGCCGCATGCCAAAGGCCACTCCTACCCACGGTCGCTCTTGCTTCTAGCCAAATTGTGGGAGTGGTGATCGAGGTCGTACCGAGGTATACAGGGCTCGATTCGGTTCCTCCGATTCGGATGGCTTGTAGTTCCAATTCGATCCGGCTTCGGATTTCGATTTGCTTTCCGATTTCTCCATGGAGGCCTACGAGCCTGCCGATTTCCGCCGATTCGACTTCTCCCGACTCGGCTGCCGATTTCCGTCGATCCGATTCATTTCGATCGCCGATCCCACATCGATTCGATTCTGGGCTCTAGGGTATAAGATACAGGTCGATTTGGGGAGGGTGACCTAATGTTCTTAGTGCTTGTTGGATGTTATTGTGAATTCTGGAGTGTCTTGGCCGGCATCATGTTCTTGAAGGATGCTTTTCTGGCCTAGGCCTGTCCGCAGGTGTTTTTTGTGGATCCCCGCCCGCACCCCCGCCGCCTTCCTCTCCACCCGCTGCGCCCCCTCTCCCCCGAAACTCTCTGGTGAGGTACGCGGGCATCAACGTTCGCAAGGCTGCAGCGCGGCCGTGCTGCGCCGCAACCCCTGCTTGCAGCCAATTCTGGGGGAAGGGGAGCAGAAGGAGGAGGGAGGAGGAGGAAGACGTCAGCTGGGCTGGTGGTTGACTTGCGGGAGTACGGGGCCAGGACGGTCAAGGCTCTGGTGGATGCGGGGACCAAGGATGCACTTCTTCGGGATCTGAGCCTCCAAGGCGAGGCGTTAGGTGCTGGCGATGTGCCCCTGTGCCCGTACCTTGAACCGCTCCGTGGGGTGTGCCAAGATTTCCGCGTGTCTGGCAAGGCCCTGGAGGCCTCTCTCCTCGCCGCTGTGGCGTCGGGAGGCATGGCTAGCCAGGTTGGCCTGTTCCTGGACCGCCGTTCGATCTCGACGGAGTGTAAGGCTCTAAGCAGCATAGGTTTTACAGTTGCCCTGCCACGCACGGGTTTAGGCAGAATATGGGGTTCGATCGTTTGGTCCGAGCTGGTGCCCGTGCGGTTTCGGCTGAGTGGCGCCTGTTCTACACTAGAGGCCTCATGGCGTCCCCCATTAGGGTTTTCTCCAGGGCCCCTGGTGCAGGAGCCGTGGAGGTGGCATGTTTTCCCGAGGTCTGGTCAGCTGGTTGACGTGATCTGCTTGGACGGCTCGGCTCTTGACCCCACTCTGCCGTGGTACTCTCAAGCTGGTTGGTCCGCGGTTTCAGTGACTCCGACTGGCCAGATCCTAGGTAGCATGTCCGGCCCCCTTCCGGACCCCCTGCAGACTTGTCTCGGGGGAGAGCTTTGGGCGCTGTACATGGCCATGCTCAATGCGGACGTGGGGCCTCTTGAAGTTTGGACGGGTTGTAAGGTGCTGATTGACATTTGGAGCTTTGGCCCAGACCAGGATGTGTCGCGTTTGGCGCTTGCTGAGGTTTGGGAGAAAGCCTTGGCCAAAGCTCGAGATATTGGCTGGAGCCAGATCCAGCTTTTTAAGATCAAGGCTCATCTGTCCTGGAGCCAGGCGTCTGCCCAGGGGTACCCATTTTACGCGTGGAAAGGCAACCAGGAGGCCGATCGTCTCGCGAAAGAAGGGACCCTGCTGCAAGAGCAGGCCGATCTGCTCAGCAGCTGGCACAGCTCCAGGATGGAAGGAATTAAGCAGGTAGGTAAGTTCCTTGGGTTGATGTTGGGAGAGCTGTCTCGGGGGGGCCTCAAGGATGTCGAGCGCTGCAAGGGCAGTGGCAAGGCTCTGAGGGCTCCCTGTGATGCCCCTCAGCTCGAATCAGTCGCCAACCCCAACGGACACACGATCTGTAGAGGGTGAGAGTTTTGTCTGTGAGTGTTGTGGAGGCCAGGGCAGGTCCAGAGGTGCACTGGCGGCCTTCCCCTGCCCTGGCATCCCCGCAATTGCTGCGACGGCGCACCCGTCACACGTTCTCTGGATGGGCTCTGGCCCTTCGGGGACGGTGGTGTGGTGTCGAAGATGCGCGGCGTTCGGGAATGTCCGCTCACGTTACTTGAAAGACAGGTGCAATCAGCACCCCCGCAATGCGGGGGCTGAGAAGTCCCTCGCCTTGCTCCTCGCGGGCAAGGACCCCAGCTCGATGGCAGTGTTCGGTCGGAGTATCTTGGTCCAATGCGGGATGTAAGGTCCTCGGCGCTGGCATGGTGCAACGCACTGCCCTCGACCCTATCTTCCTTTTGACCGCGGGTCTTGCACTGCGGGATCCGTGTTGTTGGTGAAACTGGTAAAACAGGAGGAGGAACAGGAGGATGAACAGGAGGGGGACAAGACGATAATGATGCTGATGATGATGATAATGGTGGTGGTGGTGGTGATTATGATGATGATGTTGCTGCTGATGATGCTGATGAAGACGATTATGATGCTGACATGATGACGATGGTGATGATGATGCTTACGATGATGATGGTGGTGGTGATGATGATGATGGTGGTGATGATGCCGATGATGACGATGATGATGATGCTGCTGGTGATGGTGATGGTGATGGTGATGGTGATGATGATGATGCTGATGATGATGATTATGATGATGATGATGATGATGATGATGATTCGGAACCTGCTGATTATGGTGCTGATGATGATGTTGGTGATGCTGTTTTTGCTGCTGCTGCTGCTGCTGATGATTAGGATGCTGATAATGCTGATGGTGATGATGATGCTGCTGATGCTGAGTATGATGACGATGTTGCTGATGATGATTATGATGGTGATTATGATGACGATGGTGAGGATGCTAATGTCGCCGATGATGCTGCTGGTGATGATGATGCTGATGATGATGATGATGATGATGATGAGATATCATGATGATGATGCGACGCAAGATGATGATGCCGATGCTGATTATGATGATGATGCTGATCACGATGACGATGGTGATGATGATGCTCATGATGATGGCGTTGGTGGTGATGCTGATGATGGTGGTGATGATGCTGCTGATGTTTAGGATGGTGAGGAGGATGATGATTAGGATTCTGATGATGCTAAGGATGATGATGCTGATGCTGATGATGACGATGTTGATTATGCTGCTGCTGCTGATGATGATGGTGATGTTGATGATGATGATGATGCTGATTCTGACTGTGCTGATTATTCTGATGCTGATGATGATGTTGGTGATGAGGTGTTTGACGATGATGCTGACGATTATGACGCTGATGTTGCTGATGGTAACTATGATGGTGATGCTGATCAGGATGATGATGATGATGATGATGATGCTGCTGATGATGATGTGGATGATGATGACGACAATGCTGATGATGTTGATGCTGATGGTGATGAAGATGATGACGATGATACTGATGATGGTGACGATGATGCTGATGATGATGCTGACGATGTTGGCTATACTGCTGCTGCTGCTGCTGATGATGATGATGATGATGCTGATGCTCATGATGATTATGATGATGATGCTGTTGATAATGGTGATGCTGCTGCTGACGATGATGATGGCGCTGATGATGATGATGCTGATTATGATGCTGATGATGATGATCATGATGATGATGATGATGATGATGGTGATGATGGTGATGATTGTGATGGGGAGGATGATGATGATGATGATGATGATGATGATGATGACGACGACGACGACGATGATGATGATGATGATGATGATGATGATGATGATGATGATGATGATGATGATGATGATGATGATGATGATGATGATGATGATGATGATGATGCAGCTCAGCTGCAGATGATTATATGATGAATGATATGATGATGATGATATGATGAAATGATGAAATTATGATTGACGGAGTGGTGGTGGTGATGATGAGGCGATAGTAATGCGAGGCGGAAGGAGGCGGAGGAGGAGGAGGAGGACGAGGCCGAGTACTGAGGACGAGGACGAACGAAGAGGAGGAGGAAGAGGAGGAGGAAGGTATTGAGGGGAGGAGGAGGAGGAGGAGGAGGAGGGAAGGAGAGGAGGAGGGAGGAGAGGAGGAGGAGGGAGGAGGAGGCGGAGGAGGTAAGAGGAGGAGGAGGAGGAGAAGAAGGAGATCCGTTGCCATTTTGGCTCAAGTGGGAACAGGTCCCATCTGAGCGGGCAGCTCTCTTTCGAGCAATCCAGTGTGTCGTGCACTGGCGGACACCCAGTACCTCTCTTTTGTCTCATTCTGACAGCTACCTGTGTAGCTGAGGGTGCTTCACAATTCGTGTGCGAGCGACAGAATGCCTGAAGAGTGTGCTGAATATATTTCGTCTTCTTCTTCTCCCTCCAAGGTCGCCCGCGGTGAGAATGGCCGACGCCGACCTGGTGCTGCAGCAACGGATGGCGAAGAAGGCTTTCTCTCGGCCTCCGAGGATGACCTTCCCCGTGCGAATATGGCTTCGGCGGGCACTGGTGCTCCTGCTTCCCCTGCTCGTGGTGGCCCCGTCCTGCACGATCCAGAGGCATTTGCACTCAAGTCCCACGTTGATGAGTCCCACAACAAAGTCATGGCAGCCATTGCAGCGGTCCAGGCCAATGTTCAAGTGCTGTCGACTGCGATGTCTACCCGCGCCGAGGCAGTTGACAAGCAGGTGGAGCTACGCATGCGGAAGGCTGAAACCCAGATCAAAAATCATGAAGATCGCATCGGCTCACTTGAGAAGCAGATTCACTACCTTATGGAACAGCTACGCTGCGTCAAGTCTGAAGAGCCAGTGGCACCGGCTGCTCCTGCTGGATTCACCAGACCTCCGAATGCCACGATCTTGGTTGTACGTTCTAAAGAATTGGTTTCTGCCGAGGCCGTGCGTGCGGCTGTCGCGCCTTGGCTGGCGGACTCCAACCTGGACGTTGAAGACTGGGAGATCACTACTTCAGCCACGACACCGACGAGCAAGAGACACATCATTCATATCACAGGCAGCGCAGCATGGGCAGCGAGATCAGTCCGACAGGCCCTCGGTACGCTCCGCAACAGAGACGGCAGCTGGAGGAAGTTTGTGGTCAAGACGCCGCTTGGCCAGGACACCGACATCTTTATCAGTGCTGATAAGAACCAATTTCAAGTCCGACGCGAACTCGGATGCAAGCTCATCCGCAGGGAGTTCGAGACAGTGTACCCCGACAGGCGCTTCTTCGTGGACAGAGAGAGAGGCGAGATTTCCCTGGCGTGGAAGAGGCTCTTGCGCTACTCCCCGAACGCCGACGGCCCCCCCGACGATCGAGTGGCACCTCCCGAAGCTGCAGGCCCAGCAGATCGACAAGTCTCGCCTCGAGCACCGCGTGCTGGCGCTCTTCCAGGCGCAGCGCGAAGATGAGGGCGGGTGGTCTCTTTAACACATTTCTGAGGCCCTGGAAGGCACCCAGCTCTGCCAGTGCCTGTCTCAGTTTTGTAAGCTGGAATGCGAACGCTCTCTTCCACCATCACTACCCTACTAGATCTAAGAAGTTCAACTACCTCGCCTCCCTCATGTCTGCGAATAGTGTGGTAGCTGTTCAGGAGACTCCTGGCTCGCCTGCAGAAGCTCGTAACTTGTTGCATTTCATCCACAAGCCGTACGAGTGCTACACTAGCTTTAAGATGATCCCAGGCCCGTCTGAGGATGAGATCGTCACCTCGATCCCCGACCCCTGTGCCGCTGGTGTCCTCACGCTGGTCCCGCACGTCTCGAACTCGGAGGTTGTCTTGGATGCGTTTCCTGAAGAGTTGGTCCCTGGCCGTGCATTATGCGTAATGATGGTTTTTGATCACGGGGACTCTTGGATCGCCCACTACAACATCCACAATTTTGGCCTTACTTCGGAGCAAAAGAAACACAAAACCTCGCATATTGAACAGAATCGTGCCATCGCTGCGGAAGACTCTCAGAACCGTCTCGTCGCTGTCGTGGGGGACTTCAATATCGCTGCCGCTCCCCCGATCCCCGTCGACCCATCTCAGTTCCAGGACCCAGGTGTCGGCTACCAGGACTGGCGGGGAACGCAGGACCCTGTCTGGCGTGCATGCTTTGCGTCGCTGGTGGAGATCCAGCAGCAGGATCCGACGCACGTCTATGCGCCGACCGATACCATGAACATCATAGATAGGGCTTTCACGTCTCTGCCTGCATGGGTGGTCATACAGCTGAATATACGTGGCCATACTTGCGGCCTTGCGGAGGTAGTTTACAAACAGCAGCTCCTGATCACGCAGCCATCAAGATGGACTTCAGAGTCGCCCCCAAGAAGGACCCCAACTCCAGAGGTACCCCGAAGGACCTTTTCGAAACCGACACGTATCAGAGATTCATGAAAGCACACTTGGAGGTCAGTAACCTGGAAGATCTTTCCTCACCCATCAGGCTGCTGTAATTTAAGTCGCTCATGAAGGAAGCCGCTCGCTTTGCCCGCAATTGTCTGCTCCAAGGCGCGCACGGTGCTCAAGACAGCAGTTCTCTCCTGGGCAGAATTATTTTGTGCAGATCTATTGGCAGAGCTGTTTGGCGACAAGACTACCGTTTAGGCTCTGGCCTGATCAGTGCATACCCTCTGGCAGCGCGCTTCTTGGGCATCTGCTCGACTTCGAGGCGCCTATGGCTCACGGGGCCTGCTGCTTTTTCGGAGTTACTGGATCATCTGGAAGAACAATCATACTTTGAAAAACTCAAGAGGCTCTCTCAGACGCTCTCGAGGACCCCCGACGGCTCAGAACGCAAAAGACTCAGACAAAGACTCCAGAGGCTTCAGAAACGATCTCGACTGTGGGCACCTTTCGACAAGCGTTTGTACATCCGTGGCATCAGAAAAGACGACCAGGTAGTTTCCGACCCCTCTGAGATGGCATCTGGCATCTCTGGTTACTGGCGAGACGTCTTTAGCGACAAGTCCACGCCGATTGCGCCTGCCCAAGCGTACATTGAGCGGTTCACGTCGCACGTAGATCTCAGCCAGCTGCAGCCGCCGTCGCAGAAGTTGATGGCCGCTGTACTGCGCCGTCTTTCTCATAGTGCCCCAGGCCCTGACTGCATTCCTTACGCGGGTTGGCAGAAGACGCCACAAGCTCTGGAAGTCTCGACTGAGATGATGTTCTGGCTCCTGGACGGTGGATGGCAGCTTTCTGGCTTCAATGATCTCCTGGGCAGTTTTATTCCCAAGGGCGAGGAGGAGGACGATTTTGCTGGAGGAGGTTGCATTCGCGAATGCAGTCAGCTTAGACCCCTGGGCCTGAAGAGTACCGACAACAAAATCATCACCGCCACGTGCATGGTGTCGTTCTCCAGGGAATGGTCCAAGGTTGCCAACGGCCTTCAGAGAGGCTTTATCCAGGGGCGACAGTTCGGGACAAATATCATCGAGCTGGATGCTCACGCCCGCGCCTACTCGTCGCTCCCCAGTGCAGAATTAGATTTGCCTGCTCTTGTCGCATTCGACTTCGCGCAGGCGTTCCCCTCGGTCTCGCACAATTGGATGCGCCTCATGCTGCAAGCTATCCGCCTGCCTGAAGCTCTGGTCGATTTCCTGATGATTCTATACTCTGGGGTCAAATGTTTCTCGGAGTTTGGTGGTACCATGATATTTATGTTCCCGATCTGTTCTGGAATTATCCAGGGGTGCCCAGCCTCCGGTACGATCTTCGCGGTATGTAGGGAGCCATTTGTATGCGATTTCGACCAGACGATTGTTTCAAAGTCCCGCGGCATCGTTCGCCTCTGTGCTGACGACATCGGCGCCGCCATTTTGAAGCTGCAGTTTATGACCCAGCTCTTCCGAATTTTCAGCGTCGCCGAGAAGATTGCGGCGCTCGCCCTCAAGACTTGCAAGTGCAATTTACTGATGTTGGCAGGCCCGTACTCGGAAGCTCTTCCGTGCAAGTATACCCAACGTCTGAAAGCTCTGGTCCCCTCATGGTCCGCCTTCAAAATCGTCAGCGTCGTGAAATACCTGGGGATGTATATCGGCCCCGATGCAGAACCACAGTGTTGGGCGTCGCCGCTTTTGAAATGGAGATCCCGTTCCTTTGAGCTCTCTGGAGTTGGTGCTGCATCAACTGTCTCTTCGAATGTGTACTCGTCGCGCGCAGCCTCAGTCCTCTCCTACGTGTCTCAGTTTCTGCCGACGCCGTCGGACTTGCTTCGTTTCGAGGCGGCGATGCTGGCCCGTGTATTCCACATGCCGTACTGTGGCTTCGCACGCTCGACATGGTATAATTGGGGGGAGTGGGGCGGACCGAAAGTCAAATCCTTGGAAATGGTATGTCTCGCATCTCGGGTGAGGGCAGCATCGACAACATTCGAGTGGCAAGCCAGTTTGAACTTTCTCCTCCGCGCTGCTCGGCAGCACCTTCCCATCGTTGAGTGGCAGAGGGGCAAGTACTCACCGACGTTTTGGAAGTCAAAAGCTGTATGCCAGCACTTTGCAGATGCGTACCATGGTTTCCCTGAATCTACCCGACTGTCTCGTGCCCGCCCCATCATTCTGAATATGCAGAGAATGCTCCGTGAACATGTTCCCCAAGGTCTGAGCCAGAAATCGTTCAAACTGCAGAGACAATCTGTCCTAGAGCTGACACCAATCTTCTATCCTGAGCCCCCATCAGTCTTGTTTAGGCGCCGTTTGCTCGATTGGTTCCCTGAAGAAAGGGGGCGCATCCTCACCATCGACTGGGCCGCCGCGCGGCTTGCTCTTGTGTCCTTGCCCTGTTCTCTCGCCTCGGCCGCCACGAGGACGCTCTCCAAAAACTGGCTTACTCAGTGTAGGTTCCAACAGACGTCGAACGCTCACTGCATGCTGGGATGCACGGTGTGCATGGCTGGTGCTGACAGTATTGAGCACGATTGGCAATGTGTCCTTTTCGGTTCCCTCCTTGCGTCGCTCGTCGGCCCTCTCCCCCCCCCCCCTCCCGCTCGATCGCCTCGGCGTTGTTGCTCCGTCGAGAGAATCGATGCGTGCGCCAGCTTGTGCCTATTTTCTGTTCAATGAAATTCGCGCGAAGTCCCAGCGAGTGCGCCGACCCCTATCTTCAGCGGAGGCACAGGCCCTCCCCCCGACTGTCCGCCATCAGCTGCGGCGGTGAGCAGCTGCTGCTCACGAGCCTGCCGAGGACCGCCCCCCTTTGGCCACGCGGCAGGAGGAGGAGGAGGAGGAGGAGGAGGGCGAGCAGAAAGGCCAGAGGCCTTTTGGATGCCTTTCAAATTGTCTTCGGATGTATTTCGAAAGTTTATTGGGATCCTCTCTGGGCGTCCAGAGGCCACTTGGGGCGTCCTGGGTGCCTTTGGGAGGCCTCTTGGAGCCTCGTAAGGGTCTCTTGAGAGCATATTGGGGGCATCGTGGGGGGCCCCTTGGGGCCTCCTGGGCACCGTTTGGGGATATCTTGGGGCACCCTTGGAAGCCGTGGGGGCCATCTTGCGGCCATCGCGGGAGAGATCGATCAAAGGAGGGGAGCTGCTTATTTAGGGTCTTAGGAGTCTCTTGGAAGCCTCTGGGGGCATCTTGGGCGCCTCCTGGCCACCTTTCCAGGGCCTCCTGAGCACCTCTTGGGGCCCCCCCGAGACCATGGAGAAATGATCCTGGCGAAGGACCCAACAATATGCCGTTGTGAGTACCGCAGTCGTGAGCCCCGCCCTCGGTGGAGCTTCTTGTAGGGCCACGAAACGTGTGAGGGGTGTGCCGACACGGGTGCGGTGGTTTCATGCGAATTTTGCCAACGTGGCCCTCGTTGGAGCCCATTGTGGGGCCACGAAGCGTTTGACGGGTGTGCCGACACGGGTGCGGTGGCGCCATGCGAATGTTTGCCATTGGGGTTTTCGGTGGAGTTCCTTACGGGTCACGGAACGTGTGAGGGGTGTTCCGAAGTTGGCGCGGTGGCGCCATGCAAGCCTTGCCATCGGAGCCTTCGGTGGGGGTCCCTATGGGGTCACGAAGCGTGTGAGGGGCGTGCCGAAATGGGCGCGGTGGCGCCATGCGAGCCTTGCCACTGGGGCCCTCGGTGGAGGTCCTATGGGGCCAGGAAGCGTGTGAGGGGTGTGCCGACATGGGTGCGGTGGCGCCATGCGAGCCTTGCCACTGGGGCCCTCGGTGGAGCCCCATGAAAGGGGCCACGAAACGTGTGAGGGGTGTGCCGATATGGGTGCGGTGGCGCCATGCGAACCTTGCCATTGGGGCCTTCGGTGGAGCTCCCTAAGGGGCCACGAAACGTGTGAGGGGTGTGCCGAAATGGGCGCGGTGGCGCCATGCGAACCTTGCCACTGGGGCCTTCGGTGGAGCCCCATTAAGGGGTCACGGAACGTGTGAGGGGTGTGCCGACATGGGTGCGGTGGCGCCATGCGATCTTTGCCATTGTGGCTTTCGGTGGGGCTCCC